TTGTTTTTGAAGCAATTGTAAAAGGGATTCATTTCCTAATTCATTCTTCTGATAGTTTATTATTGGTGTATACAAATGCAACTGATTTCTGAATATTAATTTTGTTTCCTGCTACCTTACTAAATTCATTTATGAGTTCTATCAGCTTTTTGGTGGAGTCTTTGGGATTCTCTATATATAGTATCATGTCATCTGCATATAATGACAATTTTACTTCCTCCTTTCCAATTTGGATGCCTTTTATTTCATTTTCTTGTCTGATTGCTGTGGCTAGTACTTCCAGAACTATGTTGAATAAAAGAGGTGAAAGTGGGCAGCCTTGTCTTGTTCCTGATCTTAAAGGGAAAGCTTTTAGCCTTTCCCCATTGAGTATGATGTTTGCTGTGGGTTTATCATATATGGCCTTTATTATGTTGAGCTATTTTCCCACTGTTTCCACTTTGCTAAGAATTTTTATCATAAATGGCTGCTGGATATTGTCAAATACTTTTCTGTATCTGGTGATATCATATGATTTTTATTTTTCATTTTGTTAATGTGATGTATTACGTTAATTGATTTGCGGATATTGAACTAACCTTGCATACCAGGAATGAATCCCACTTGATCGTGGTGTATGGTCTTTTTAATGTGATGCTGAATTCGGTTTGCTAGTATTTTGTTGAGGATTTTTACATCTATGTTCATTAGGGGTATCGGCCTGTAGTTTTCATTTTTTGTAATATCTTTGTCTGATTTTGGGATCAGAGTAACAGTGGCCTCACAAAATGTGCTTGGGAGCCTCCCCTCCTTCTGTATTTTTTGGAATAGTTTGAGGAGAAAAGGTATTAATTCTTTTTTGAATGTTTTGAAAAATTCACCTGTGAAACCACCTAGTCCAGGACTTTTGTTTGTTGGAAGCTTGTTGATTACTGATTCAATTTCTTTGGTAGTAATCAGTCTGTTCAGAGTTTCTGTTCCTCCTCGGTTCAGACTTTGTAGATTGTATGCTTCTAGAAAATTATCCATTTCTTTCAGATTGTTGAATTTGTTGACAAATAGTTGCTGATAGTATTTTATTAAAATTTTCTGTATTTCTGGGATATCTGTTGTCACTTCTCTTTCATTTCTGATTTTATTAATTTGGGTCCTCTCCCTCTTTTTCTTGGTGAGTCTGGCTAAGGGTTCGTCGATTTTGTTTAGCTTTTCAAAAAACCAGCTCTTGGATTCATTCATCTTTTGTATTGTTTTTTTGGTCTCTATTTCATTTATTTCTGCTCTGGTCTTTATTATTTCCTTCCTTGTACTTTTTTTGCTCTTCTGTTTCCAGTTCCCTTAGTTTGTAAAAATAGTCTGTTGATTTGAGATTGTTCTTGTTTCTTTAGATAGGCCTACATTGTTATGAAGTTTCCTCTTAGGACTGCTTTCGCTGCATCCTATAGATTTTGGGTTGTTGTGTTTTCATTTTCGTTTGTCTCAAGATATCTTTTGATTTCTTCCTTGATCTCAGTTTTGACCCACTCGCTATTTAGTAGCATGTTATTCAGCCTCCATGTATTTATGTGCTTTCCGGATTTCTTCTTATAATTAATTTTTAGTTTCATAGCATTTTGGTCAGAGAAGACGCTTGATATGATTTCGGTCTTCTTAAATTTATTGAGACTTGTTTTGTGGCCTAACGTGTGGTCTGTCTTGGAAAATGTTCCATGTGCACTTGAAAAGAATGAGTACTCTGTTGCTTTGCGGGGAAATGCTCTAAAAATATTGATTAAATCCAGCTGGTCTAAAGTGTCATTTAAGGCCACTGTTTCCGCGTTGATTTTCTGTCTGAAGAATCTGTCCATTGGTGACAATGGGGTGTTGAAGTCCCCTACTACGATAGTGTTACTGTTGATCTCTGTCTTTATGTCTGTCAAAATCTGTTTTATATATTCAGGAGCTCCTATGTTGGGTGCATAGATGTTTATGTCCTTTTGTTGAATTGATCCCTTTACTATTATGTAGTGCCCTTCTTTGTCTTTTATTGTAGTCTTCATTTTAAAGTCTATTTTGTCTGAAATAAGTATAACACTTGACTGTAACAGAAAGTAGGCTAACAGACATTCAGGGCCATTTGAATTTACCTGACTGCTCAGGACTCAGATGGAGCCACTCCTGACATCTCATTCTCACTGAGGCACCCAGCAGACTCACTAGGTTTAGTCCCTTCTGCCTCAGAAGACTGGGTCTGAGCCATCCGCAGGGGTCCGTTGTCCATCTCCATTAGCGTAAGACACTGTCACTGCCTTCCTAGGTTAGTGTAGCATTCTTCCAGCTGATCATACCCCCGACCCTAGCCCCTCCAGTCACTTCTCACTGTAGCTCTAAAGCACTTGAATCACTTCTCATTTGTCTTAAAAATAAAGGGACAAAAATATCAATTTCTGAGTTAAATCTTGGTGTATAAAGAATTCTGAGTGTTGTTTGCCAGTGAACTAAGGAATTTGCTTATTGAATTATTATTGAGATGAATTTTGGAAACTAAACTTTAATTCTTTCAAAGCAAACGTGCATTTCTACAAAGAAAAAATGATAAAAATCTGTACCGTTTAATAGAATATTTTAAAATAAATATAATTTAGAGCCTGAAGAGTTATGTGTATATTGACCACTTCTTATCAGGTATGTCTGATATTTTTGTTGAAAACATTCAGCAATCCTTACTCTTATGCATTCATGTCAATATGTATAACGTTACTTGTATTTTAAATTAACTTGAAGTCCATATCATAATCATTTATAATGCATTTGTTCTTAACATGAAAGTTCTCTTGGCATGTCCCTAACCAATAATACGTTAGTATGTTAACGTTAAAGGATTTTGGCATTGTGTTAAGGAAATATCAGAATTTTTTTCACATTGTACCATTTTGTTCCTACGTCTTTATTTGGAAAGCTTCCTAAGCTTGCCTTTCTTAAGATAGTTTATATCTTAATATAGTAATTTTATATAATGATATTTATTTTATATAATAATAAATAAAAAGTTAACTGAAATTCAATTGAATAGATTTCTCTTTTAATCAATGTAGTGTTCTACACATTAAGGAGAAGAGAAATATCAGAGGAAAACATGGCTATCAGTAAACAGATAAAAAATGAATTCTAGAATTCTGTAATATATTTTCTCAAATTAGACTGTGAAACCTCTGAAAAGAAGAGCAGTGATTTATAATTTTTAAAAAGTTAAATGCTGGATATAATGTTTATATTCATAAATATTTGTTAAAGGAATAGAGTGGATGTCCTAAGATTACTAGACATTAACCCAGAGTTTATTCGTTTACTTCCAAACTACTAATTAGTGAGAAGTGATGTTGAGAAATAGTATCTTGGGTATGATACTTTTTGGTTTAACCATATAAAATTGCTGATGAAAATGACATATGAAATTGCCCTCCAAAAAAGGTAGTTTCAACTTAATGCTTAGGTTTATTTATGGGAATTGTATCTAAATGTTTTAGGAAGATGAATAACTTATTGTTGGAATAAGAAAGGCTTTCTGAGTCGTCATAATTTAATCAGAAACTTAGATTATTTCTTATACATTCCTTTTAATCAAGTTATAACCATATTTCATCCTTTCTTTATATACAACCCCTAAAGCATTTCTTATTTTTGTAAATTATTTCTAAAGATAATTGTTTTTCTTTTTTCTTTTTAAGACTGCTGAGAAGTCAGGCCAGATTGAAAGATCAAAGAATGTAAGGCAAAGACAAAATGATTTTAAGGTAAGTTAAGGATAAGTGTGGAGACTTTTTCACAGGGGTAAGGTTTTCTCAACCATGTTAGAAGACTTTGTGTTCAAGATACTTATCATCATTCAGACAAAATCCTTTGATTTAATCAAGCTAGTGACTTTTAATACACTTTGCTTGTTTATTATTGCCTAGAAAATGATTCAGGAAGTCATGCACTGTCTTGTGAAGCTGGTCCGTGGAGCATTGCTCCCCCTGAGTATCTCCGAGGGCGGGGTGAGGCAGTATGGAGGCTGGGAGGTGAAGTCTGAGCTCTCTGGACAGTGGCTCATTCATGTCATCCAGACCATGAGGTAAATATGGACACACTCTCCTGAAAAGTGTGAATATTTTTTTTGTCTTAAAAAAATTACTCAGTATGGGATATGAATTTTAATGCATTCTCCAAAGAATTTTACTTTCTGTCCTTTGCTTCCACTATTTCCCTAGCAAGCTCTTAAACCTTCCTGGTGCTTACGTTTGATGAGAATATCACACTGGGTGTGCATCTTCTATTGTTTAATTCAGTATTACTGTTATATTATAATCCCTGTTAGGGTCTTACCTTCGCCTTGTTTTCAACAGAATTTTGTAACTTGCAAGCTCCATAATGAATCATTATAGAATGGCCCAAATAATGGCAGCAATTGCTTGGCGATTGCACTCTGCTCAATTTTATTGTGTTTGTTTTACAGGCTTACTTATGAATCATTGACTGCCCTCGAAATTCCTAATGATATGTTACAGACTATCCAGGACCTCATCTTGGATCTCCGAGTACGTTGTGTGATGGTCACACTGCAGAACGCAGCAGAAGGTATGTTAAGAAAAATTGATAACAGTAACTACCTGAATATGCCACCGCTTTCCAGCTTCCCAATCCTTGAAAACAAGAAATGACTCTTATGGAAATCTGAGTAGTTTAGATCATCTACAGCTGCTCAATAGAATTTTTTCAAAAGGAATTTTTTTCAAAATTTGAGATGCCAGACCATGCAGAAACTGAGATGGATGTACTTTGAAAATATTTAAGGATATAAGAACATCCTTATGGCAAATGTTAAGCAGAAAAAATAGAATATAAAATGTACATAAAGTATTACCCCAATTTTGAAACTATATATAGATATATATATGTATTTTAAAAGTTTAATTTAGAAATATCACTGTAAAATTATAAGACAGACTATTAACAATGGTTTGCTGGATAGTAGAAATTATAGGTGATGTTCATTTTCTTTATATTTCCTGGAATTTTCAGGACTTTTACATACAATTATAAAAAATAATTAAGGTTATATTTACAAAGCGGCCCTTTGGGTATTAAATGTTTTCAAAAACATTCAAGAACATTATTATAAATGACGTAAGCCATTATTATCTGTCACCAGAACTTTTAAGTAGGAAGTTCACATATGTACAGAACTGGTGATAATAAACTCTGCAAACAGAGAGGGAATGGAATCCAGATGAGAAACTGAGCAGTCTCCTCTTAATTCATCACCTTTCCCCGCTTGGGGACCTGAAATAGATTTTGGTGCTAAAGGTTTGCTCAGGTGGCATTCCTTTAGCCAAGTGAGAGTCAAACTGCCATTGTCAGGAATGTATAGGATTGAAACAGAATCTGACTTGCTCATTAGAAATTATAGGAGAAAAACATTGTAGAGTTTATTTTATACATATTTAATATTACCAAGAGTGCTGAATAAGTAATAAATTGTCTAAAGTTATTGGTAAACTTAGCCTAGCATTCTCCAAATTGGGCTATCCAGTAAAAAATTTTATTTACGTTAATGTTTTATTAGAAAAATCCAGTGAACAATACACTTTTAAATCCTTGAGTCTACCAGAATTAATTCTATCCCTACTTTCACCAATTTTTTACAGAGCTATATTAAGACAATTAAAAACCATAGCAGATTTTTATCTCTATAAATGTCAGTGAGATAACTAATAAAATGTACTTGTGTGTTTGTTTTCCCTGTAGAAATAAAGAGATTAGCTGAAAAAGAAGACTGGATTGTCGATAATGAAGGACTGACTTCTCTAGTAAGTTTAAATTCTATTAAATGATAAATTATTGGTATAGTATTCAAAATAAATGATTTAGTATATTAGTAAGGAGTGTACTCTCTCTGTATTGCAACGGTAAATAGTTTCTGGAAATAAACTTATTAAAGTTTTTCTGATGGAGTCATTTTTGCCAAACACTAACCACACATACTTAAAAATTAATAAAAATCATAGATTTCTTTTACAATGGTTTTTCTTCATACTGTATCACTTACTATTTTTTATTTTTATTACATTTTAATTGATTATGTGTAATTCTAAGTTACCCAGCTGCTTGAATTTTTTTTTTTTTTTTCAGAAAAACAGAATAGTAAAAAATACTATTGCTGACCCCTAAGCCAAAACAAAACAAACAGCAAACCTCTCCAGATGTATACACAGGTCAAGCAAGCAGTTACAACCATGATCTTCATTCTAGAATCATCATCTTTTCGGATGGGGCTTGTAGGTTTTTGAAACACTTCGAAAATACTTTTCATGAACTCAGGAAGTTCCACTTGTGGTGTCAGCCAGTCCATCTTCTGAGGAGATGATGAAGAAACATGTTGACATGGGAGTCTTAGCTGTTCCACATAGTCCTCACTTAGAAGATAAAGTGATCAATGCTTAGAATGAAATTCTGCATTCCAGCTCTGACTATTTTAACCTAACTAACATCTGTAAAACTTAGACTTTGAACAATGGCCTAAATTACATACCGCTAATTTATATTTTGTTATCATTTCCGTAGTACCAGTCCAATTTGTTTGAAATGAGACTATGTTTTTCTTGCCCTGTGACTGGGATAGGAAAACATTCCTTATCAAGTTAAAGAAATGAACATTAAGGGCCGGCCGAGTGGCACAATGGTTAAGAGCTGGCTTGGGACGCCAGAGGGCCCTGGTTCGGATCCCACATATGAGGGCCAGTGACACTGCCCTCCACAGCTAAGATGCTGAACAACAGCTCAGCCTGGAGCTGGGCTGCCGTGGGTCACCGGCTACAGCGTGTGCTGCAGCCCCTGTGGCAGTGGGTTGCCATGGGCCACCATGTGTGGCCAGCAGCCAGTGTGAGCGGCCAGCAGTCGCAGTGAGTGGCCGTCCAGAGGCCGGCAACTCATCTGCCTCGCCGGGGAAGAGCGCAATGATGGTGCCAACTTGGGCCAGTGAAGCAACGTCCTCCACAACTAGACTGAAGAACAAAACGACAGCAACTTGTCTGTTCCCCTTCCCCCAATTCCCCAGCACTGTTCCCCAATAAAATTCCCCAATAAAAATCTTAAAAAAAAAAAAGAAATGAACATTAAGTTTTGCCTCATTATCACTATTCTTTCAGCAGTGGTATTGTCTTTAATTTGAACTTCACTTCAGTGCTGTGAAAACAGCTCATTTGAAAGCATCCTGTTTTCTTCTCATGTTGAAAATATTTTCTGTCTTTTTAAAATTTGGATAATTCTGAGAATTTTCTTCTTTCAGAAGAACTGGAATGATTGATGATAACTCCTTATAGTCAGCCAAGTTGGTGATTCACTTTGAATTTGCAGAGATAGCACTATTTTTTTTTTTTTTTTAGAAAAAAGAAAGAGATGTTCAGATTGTCATTTATGCCCAGTTTAAGCGAAACTACTCATTGGGTGCTCTGGTATTTTTCTATCCAATTATTGTATTAATATAAATGTAAAACAAAAATAAGAAAACCTGGTTCAAATTTTAATACAAGACGTAAACATCAACATTTAACTGTCCACAGTTGAATTTTGGATTTAATTCTCACGATTGTTATTATTTTAACATCTTAGATTTTCATACCTTTTGCGTCAGGTACATTGGATGGATAAGAAACATTTTGCCTCTTTATTTATTTTTTAAAGATTTTATTGGGGAATTGGGGGAGGGGAACAGTGTTGGGGAATCAGGGAAAGGGAACAGTCAAGTTGCTGTCCTTCTGTTCTTCAGTCTAGTTGTGGAGGATGTGGCTTCACTGGCCCATGTTGGTATTATCATTGCGCTCTTCCCAGGTGAGGCAGATCGGTCGCCGGCTACTGGGTGGCTGCTCACAGCAGCTCTTGGCAGCTCACGCCAGCTGCCAGCCACTCACAGTAGCCTACAGGAGCCCACTGCAGCTCCGCTGCAGCCTACACCATTGCCAGCGACTCATGGCAGCCCAGCTCCAGGTCAAGCTGTTGTTCACCATCTTAGCTGTAGAGGACGCAGCGTCACTGGCCCTAATGTGGGATGCAAACTGGGGCCCTGCTGCTCAGAGCTGGTGTCCCAAGCCAACTCTTAACCAACACACTACTCGGCCAGCCCATTTTGACTCTTTAAATACTTTCTGTGCAGTTGGTATTTTATCCTGTAAACCCCCACCCTACCCCCATTTTGATACATTTTAAGTATTTTGATACTTTTAAGTATTTTTCATGGTGCCCTCTGGTAGCTTCAAAGTGCAGTATCAATGGCATTAAAGTTGAGGCACTAGTTTAGCTTTCTTTAAGCCTGGGTTCCTTTTTGTAAGAAAATAAGCTTGTCTTTTTTCCTTTCTTTTTTTTTTTTCTTTTTTTTTTTCGCTTGCATACAGGTGTCTCTGTATTCCTTTTCCCCCAAACTCTTTTAAAAATTGAAGTGTATGTACTGAGGAGATATTCTGACTCTAGATTTTTACACAGAGCTGATTGAATTGAACTTTGAGCTTTGCACAGTTCCATGCCCCTGAGTGAAACAGACCCCTAGCCTCATCCCTTGAACTAGCAAGAGCACGCTCAGTGTTGTGACACACCGTGGCCCCTCAGTGCTGCCAGGAGGCAGTGCACATGCTGTCCTCCCTCCCTGAGCTCACTCTCCTCCTTCCCTTTTCTTTTTAGGGGTTGGTCCCTTGAGTCCTTCAAATCACACTTCAGTGTTCTCACTGTGCCAGGGGTCCTTCTTTAACCATCCTATTGAAGAACAGATCCCCCTCTATCCCTATTTTTCTCTGAGTCCCCACTTATTTTCATCATGTTAACTATTCTAGTTTGAGATTGCATGTATTTTATTTCTGTACTTTTTACTTTTTTTAGTAAAAAGTAAGACTTTTGTTGACTTTGACTTTTATGGTTAGTGTCTGTAGAATATACACTTTAATGAGAACTCTGCCTCTTACCCTTATTATCCCATCACCTACAGAATACCCGGCACAAAGTAAAACCTTAAATATAGCTAGAAGCTAAGGTGTTAGGATTCATTCAGACTTCTCTTGAATGCCATTTTTTGCATATTTTCCAAGTTTCATTTTCTGGTTTAATGTATATAGAAAATGACCAATGACTTTTTGAATGAAAGACCTTGGACCTCTCCTGGATCATTGTTATGAACATTAAATTTTCTTGAAAGTACCAGAGATGTGAAAGAG